GTGCGTGGGTGTGTGCGTGGGGCGTGCGTGTGTTTGTGTGTCGGATGCAGGCGAGGAGGGAGGGAAGGGATGAGAGGGCTCCCGAGCCGTCGGTTATCGCATCTCCCAGTACAGCGCGTCCTCGGTCGCAGCACCAGCCAACATCCCCGGGGAAAATACCCATTGCTACCGGGGATGAAGGGGAAGAATTGAGGGATTTTCCCTGGGGCTAAATCCTGCCCCTCTACTCAGGCGGTGAATACCCTCGGAGCCAGTGAGCTGACTCGCGGGAATAAAGCCAGCAAAAGACGCTCTAGCGCTGAAGTGCCGGGGTTGGGGTTAGGTAGGGCGTGTGCGAGCTGCCAAGCCCGCAGCAATTCCCCATCCAGCTCTGTGCTCGGGATAGCCAGCCCCTGCTGTCAGCTCTCGGGCTGAGAGATTCACATTAAACACCAGCGCAAGCAGGAGCAAGTGCTCCCAGATCCTCGTTTTTAAGGACTTTGAAAGTTCTTTTTAATAGCTCCTGAAGTTTCTCCACTTTCATTCTTCCATCACTTTTTTTTTTTTTTTTAAGGCAGGCAGGCACCATATGTAAATACAATTTGTAGTAAACAGAATGTGAAACCAATCTTGCCATGTATTTTGGATTTTTTATGATATATGGTGGACTGTTCAGAAATGCATGCTATTGTTAAAGCTGTTTGTGCCCAGTGTACTAATGTACTGTTTGATTGAGTGAATTAGCAGTCATAACAATCTGGCAGTCTGGCCATAGAAATGTGCTCAAATTGATTTGTGTTATGGCTGGACTGGAAAATCTAGTGTTAGTTGTTTTTTTGCCCTGGGGCATTGTTTGTACCAAACTCCACTTTTCATTTAATTTTCCAATAGATTTTTGAAAGACCAAAAGGTTTGTGATCAACGTTTGCTGCACTTTATTATTATTCAGCTATTAAAAATATCCTATGAGTAATTTCAGGTTCCCCAAAACCTTGCTTTCAATTAGAGTAAACATAATTAGCATGACGTCGTGCTTGGAATGGCAAATCTCCCTTTGTATCTATTAAGCATGTTATCTACTTGTCCTGTCACTGAAAGGAATCCAGTTTGTATTTGTATTAGACAAGGTTTTGTGCTACTTTGACTATAATGCAACAATTAGAAAAACAGCGCTGCAGTATCCAGTTTCTTGCTACTGATACAACACTTCACAACAACCTCAATTGTATTCATGGTGTTTGTCAATGTTTAGTAAATGTCTTGGTGGAAGAGAAGCAAAAAGAGATCCCTTTTCACACACTTACATTTCTATGAGTCTATTTTCCTGAGCGATGCAGGGGGGATTCTGTATGAGGTCCCTCCCTCTTTCTCAGTCTTCCCTCTAAATAGCAGATAGCTCTTCAAAGGGGGACTGCTGCTTGAGACCTGAGATTAAAGCAAAGCAGAACTTACCTTCTCTTTGCCAGTACTTGCTCCTTCCTTAGAATCTCTGCTAGGTAGTTGTTTGCCAGAATTATAATGCAGCATGATTAAACCTAAAACATTACTCTATTGATCAGACAAAAAGCTTTGTGAAATCATCTAATTTCTCCTCTTGAGAAACAGTGAACAAAATAGGTCACTAAACAAGGGTAAGACAAGATACAAGACAGAAACGTTTTTATCAGGAAAATAAATTTCAAAGAAATGCAGGGGAAAAAAAAATGTGGATGAACTTAGCATGATAATACACTATTCATCCTTACCAGGTGCCTATCTTCTGTTGCATCCCCTCCCCCGGTCCATTCCTTCACACACGTTCAGAAGATAAATACTTTTCTGGGGTGTTTTACTGAATGAATTTAAATATTTAATTATCAATAATAACTGAAGATGGGGGAGGGAACTGGTGTACTATCCTATCTCCTGTCAGTCAAGTATTCAAATTCCTTAAAATGCAACAGCTACAATGCATTTTGTAATTGCATTTTACCCTTTACAGCTGCCCTCAAAATTGTAATTTAATAAAATAGTGAACTCCATATCAGTCTTTTTTTTAGAGCAATAAATTACAATCACTGTCAATACATCTTACCGTTTTAACATACATTTTAATACACCGAAATGGTAAAAAGAAAAAAGAAGAGAGAAAGAGAGAGAATACCTGCCCTGAACAGCTATATGAGCAGAACAGAAACCCTGCTTCAAACAATATTCCAGGAAAGAAATTAAAGACTTCTTAATTAGTGCAGCAATTAAGCTTTCTTGGTCGCATTTTAATCAGCCCAGGCCCTATCAAAGGACAAACAGAACGATTTGCAGGTCTTTGAATTTTAAACAGTCTTATTGATTTCACCACCATAAGTCTTCACTTGACACAGGGAGAATTTTCAAATATCAGTTACAGTAATTTGAGTTTTGCTGATATCAACTCAGAGAGAGAAAAAGAAAACACCCAACAATATCATTACATGAAAGGGTCAGTCAGCAAGTGAGAGAAATGCAATCTAGAGAAGTTTACAAAGAATGACCTCAGGATTTGCTGCTTTATGTGACTGTGTCAGTATAGGTGAGAGTTAAATTAAATTGAGACACTCCCCATAATAATTAGAAACACTTACCGTGCCAGAAGCTTTGAGGAATGTCCAACCTTTTCAAAAATCTTTCTTTCTAGGTTTCTAATCCCAGTGTTGCATTGATATCATCAAGGTTAACCCAGACCCCTGGTAGTAAACCCTTTCAAATTACATTTTCCTTTGGACCATAAGAATTATGTATCTGTGGGAGCACACAGCAAATAGAAAAACAGAAGAGCTGGTGTGCATCATGTTGTAGGAAAAGTAGAGAACAAATGAAGTGGTAGTTTTCCTAATTCAGAGTTCACCCAGATCTCCAAGTGGTGTGTCTGGCTCTATCCTGATCTTCTTATGGAGCTGTTCTGTCTTCACAAGGTGTGAAAGAAGGTGACATGCAAAAAGAACAGGTGAGGGAAGGAAAATATGGACAGAGTTGGCTTTCTACAAGTGAAAAAAAGACAGAGGCGGTGTATTTATATTTTGAAATTACAAGTTTTATGCAACACTAGATCCCACCACTGGGATCCCACCACTGGAACTCAAGTTGTATAAGCTCCTCCAGATAAACATTCTCAAAAAACCCCACCTCAAAAGGGCTCAAGTAAGTGTCCTGCACAATTATGGGTACAGAAGACTTTAAAGTAAAACATTATTCTGTGTTTTCATGGTTTTATTAGCAATTCTAAAGATTTTAGTGCAGGATAGCTTAAATTTCACTAGCAAAAGGTGTCTTAAGTGGCACTAGAACACAAATTCCCGTAAATTAAAGTACAATAAGCAAGCAGATCATATGAGAATAGTTTATGTCTGATACTGTGGAAATTCCCCTGCACCAAATTACTACAGTTGAGATTATCCACTCTACAGATGTGTCATCCCGTGAGTCATGTCTCATGTAATAGCATCATAGGAGGAAAAAAAGGCTATGGGCACATACATGCATCGCAATTAAGTACACACAGGGTGCATTTTTAAAACAGGAAGAACTACGCACGCACCGACCCCTGATTTTGCAGACCCCCCCCACCTGTACCAGTGGCCATTTCTTTACCCCTTTCAAAGTGCGAAGTGCCCTCAAGACAGGCGGAACACAGCCCCGGGCTTTCCCGACGGAGCCCGGCACGCCAGCTGCCAAACGCGCTCCAGCCGCATCCCCGCTCGGGGCCGGCAGGTACCGCGCCTGCCGCCGCCGCACTGCGCATGCGCGGGCAAGCGCGCCGGCTGACTTTGCGCGCTGTGTGCCGCGGAGGGGCCGGGCCGGGGCTGCGCGGCTGCTGCGCGCCGCCGACACCTGTTGCGCGGCGGGACCTGCGCGGGCCGCCCGCCTGCCCCTCTCCCAAGTTACTTCTGTGCCACCGCAGCCCGCTCGGCGCGGCGTTCTCGGCGGCCTGACCCGTAGTGCCTCGTCCCCTCGATCCGCGGCCGCCGCAGCAAAGTCCTCCGCGGATGCTGCCGCGTGGGGCTGCCCGTGCGCGCCCCGCGCCGCCGCCCGCCGCGCAACAAAGGGGACCCTCGGCAGCAACTCCCACCTCGCCGGGAGGAGCGTTTGTGGTCCCGGGAGAGCAACAGCAGCAGCAAGAGTAACAGCCCCGTCCGGAGGTTTCTGCTTTTGTCTGCCCCGGCAAGGTGTGCGGTGCCCAGCGCCCGCCCCGCGCCCCGGCTCCCCCTCTCCCGCCTGGCTTTGGGGGAACGCTGGAGACGCTCGTGTTTCTCCGCAAACTGTGTTGACAAGCGACTGTTGAAAAGGGCTGGGAAAATTACATCTCATCTCTGGTGGGGTGAAATATGAAACATGTAATCTAACGGTTCCTGAAGGAGGGGGGAGAGGGACTTCTCTCCCTCTCTCTCTGTCTTCCTGCTCCGGGTTCCTGGTTGGATAATTTGGGTTAATACTAGTGAGTGAGCCTTTTGCTGCTTCAAAGGGTATTTCAAGTTGCCGGAGCTCCTCCCCTCCGCACCGTGTGACAACAACAACTCGTCCAGCGAGCGAGCGGCGGCGGCGGCGGCAGCAGCAGCCAGCACTTCCCCGCTCATTTTCTCTCTGTCATTCCCCTCTCAATCTTTGATCAATGTACTTGCCAGAGAGAACCGAAGTCCTTCAAACCTCCTCCTTTTCACCTTCGTCTTTAACGTGGTGCTAGAGCAAGGACCACAAAAAGAAACTGCCCTCCCCCTCCCCTCGGCCCCAGCCCCGCCGCCCGGAGCGGACTTCTCCTCCTCCTCCTCCTCCTCCGTCCCCACTTGCGGGACACTTTGTGCGTTCTCTCTCTCACTCTGCCCCCTGCTCTCTCGCTCGCCGCAGCACCTGATCTGGGGTTATCCCCCCCTTCTTCTCCCCCCTCCTCCCTTCTCTCCTTTCCTCTTTTTTTTTTAATTTTTTTTTTTTTTTTATTTTTCCCCTTTCCCCTGCGTGTGTGTGTGGGAACTTTCCCCCCTCCCCCTGCCCCCTCCGCCGTATATGTGACCATGGCCGTACCGGCTGCTTTGATCCCTCCGACCCAGCTGGTCCCCCCTCAGCCTCCGGTCTCAACTTCTGCTGCCTGCACCACCACCACCACCACCTCGTCGTCGGCCACTTCGTCGTCGGCCACCTCCTCTCCGTCTCCGTCCATCGCTCCCCCGCCGGCCGCTTCGGGGACAAACCTATTCCGGCCGGAGCCCATCGCAGCAGCAGCAGCAGCGGCAGCGGCGGCCACAGTCACCTCCACCACCAGCGGCGGCGGCGGTAACGGCAGCGGCGGCGGCAGCGGCGGCGGCAGCCCCAGCCTGGGCACCGGCGGCGGCAACAGCAGCAGCGGCGGCGGCAGCAGCGGCGGCACCTCCACTCCCAATGCCAGCGCGGCCAGCGCGGCCGGCAGCCTGCCCGGCAAGCCCGTGTACTCGACCCCGTCCCCGGTGGAGAACACCCCCCAGAATAACGAGTGCAAGATGGTGGATCTGAGGGGGGCCAAAGTGGCCTCCTTCACCGTGGAGGGCTGCGAGCTCATCTGCCTGCCCCAGGCTTTCGACCTCTTCCTGAAGCACTTGGTGGGGGGCTTGCACACGGTCTACACCAAGCTGAAGCGGCTCGAAATCACGCCCGTGGTCTGCAACGTGGAGCAGGTCCGCATCCTGAGGGGGCTGGGGGCCATCCAGCCCGGGGTCAACCGCTGCAAACTCATCTCCAGGAAGGATTTCGAGACCCTCTACAACGACTGCACCAACGCCAGGTAAGCGCCGCAAGGCACACGCGCGCCCCGCCGGCCCCCCCGCCGCCGCCCCCGTCCCACCCCCGCGCGGTGCGGTGCGGTCCGGGCGAGCGCCGCGCCGCGTCCCGCTGCCCCCTCCCGCGCTGCCCCGGCACCCAGCCGGCCTTCTCCGCAGCCAGCGGCGCTGCTTCTTGGTGGGACGGAGGGACAGAGGGGGGAAGGGGAAGGCGTGTTTGTGCCCCCGTCCTGGTGCGCCCTGCAAGTGTCGCCCTGTCATTGTCCCCTTCCCTGCCCCCCGGGCCGAGGCGTGCCGGGGGTAGGGGTGGCCGCCGGCAGCGCAGCGCGGGAGCGGAGCGCCGGCGGGGGTGGGAAGGGGCCGGAAAGTGCTTTCTGGCCGAACCCGCAGCTGAAGTTTATCCTTGGATGTATCTTTAAAGCGAGCAACCCTGGGAAAAAGCCGCCCGAAGGGTGCACGGGAGTGGGCGGGGAGCGGTCCTGATGGGGGCATAGACACTGGGGTGTCGTGTGAAGTGGGATGGGGCGCGGAGCTGCCCGGGCTCCGGGCCGGTTCCAGGGCAATGGAGGCCGCTTGGCCATCAGCTGCTGTCACATATCCGAGGGGGCACGTGCACTTTTTGTGTAGGGCTGTAAGGCAGTCGCCACATGGCGAACGGGGGAGGTGAAGGGAGGGCGGGAAGACGGCGACGAGGAGGAGGAGGTGGCAGCGGCTTTTCTTTGGGGTAGTGGGGAGAGATGCCAGGCGGCCGGGCTGGGCTGCTTCCTCGGTGGGGGGGGGGGGGGGTGTCGGTCCCCGAGGAGCAGGTGCGAGCAGCTCCAGGCCCCCACCAGCCGAGGAGGAGGAGACGGGGGGCAGCGGGAACGCGGCAGAGATTTGGCAAGGCTGGATCCTGCTGCCGCGCAGAGTAACGCGGGCGCGGTGGCGGGGACGGCGCCGAGGGCGGGGAGCAGCGCTGCGGCTGCGGACGGTGCGGGGCTATCTCCGCACCCCGCGGGCCGGGGAGACCGCGGGGGGGAGGTGAGCCCCAAACTTGCCACAGCCGGAGAGCAGTGTTGGGGGGAATAGAAGGAGCTAGCAAAAGAGGAAATTCCTGATGCAATAGCAGCCGCCTTTGCAACGGAGGGCGAAAGCATGGGGCTGTTATCTCTCAATCTGTAGGTTACAGGGGCTGAATCTGCGCGATAAGGAGAAAGGATCGCATAACTGCCGTGACCCCGAGATCAGAGCGGTCGGAAGCGCCTCCAGTTCCCGGCGGCTCTCCCCCTGCCTCGGGCGGGGGCGGGGGGCTCGGGCTCTGCCGCGCTACAGGGGCGGCGGGAACTTCCCACGGAGGAGGTCGTGGACAAAGTCCCGATGCTACTTTCAGTACACCCAAACAAACAGACCGGGCTCGTTTCACTTTCCCATTGTCAGATTTCAAGGTGCAGCAGCAACCAACACGTGGGGAATTAACCCCACGCGATGCCGTGCTCCTGCCCGTCCCGTCCCGTCCCCTATGGAGGGGGGTGTGACATCCCCTCCTCTTTCCCTTCGTCCCCCCCGATTCAGCAGAGGGTGCCTGGCAGTAATTAGCATAGAGCCAGGCGAAGCAGAGCACTTACGCTGCGGTAGCAGTTGCTAGATGGATTGTTGAAGTTCCTGAATATTCAGGGCAGCCGGACAAAACAGCCTGGAATAACTTCCAAGCGCTGACATAACTGTAGCTGCTCGGGTAACTCTGCTGTTGTTTCATGTGGAATCAACATGAATATTAATAGCTGCTCTTAGACAATTGTTGGGTTGGGGTTTTTGTGTGTGTGTGTGTGTGTGTGTCCGTGTGGTGCGTGTAACTTGCAACAACTCTGCAAGAGTTCCAAGATTTGGTCCTTAAAATAAACTCATGGAAGTTTTACTCTGTCACAGTCATAACGTGTGAATTTTAATTTGAACATGTAGAATTAAGAAATACAGAAACTTTTTTTTTTTTTTTTTTTTTTTTTGGATGGGGCGGTTGCGGGCATATGGAGTCACCAATTCCTGGACTTGGCAGGGGTATAAAAGGGTTTGGCAGCCTGGTTGTAACATGGCTTGATTATGTCAACAGCACAGAATCGGCTGTGTTTCAGCTGTTCCTGAGGTCTGCTGTGTTATCATCCAGTGTAGTAGAAATTACAGTAGTGGGTTCAGAAGTGAGTAGGATTTGACCCTTAAAAAGCGTAATTGTAGTAGACTTACTTATACATCCATTAAGCAAATAAATTAATGGAGAGGATATACAATAGGTATGCAAAATGTATTATTACAGTATAGACGAATAAAGCAAAGTGGGTCAGTGAGTTTTGGTCAAAATGGATGATATAATGGGAAGATAAATCTGTACTTGCTTTCTGGATTTCCCCTCTAATACATTTCATTCTTCTTTCTTAACAAATTAAGTATTTCTGACATTACAGTAATTATGCAGGGTATTTTGATCTACTCAGTTTAGTGATTTAAGCGACCTTTCCTGACTCCCAGTTGCTGCATACTTTAGCTGGGTAATGTCTTTTTTGTGGACACTTTACTGTTGAGATGGAATCTGGAAGAGCCAAACTCCATCCTAGCGGCTAAATTGTTATACTCATCAGATTGAAAAATTTTGAACCAGCATCTTATCACTGTTATATTTGTCTCATAATCAGCTGATGCACTCGAGTACGCTAATCCCTTTTTGGAAAGCTTCATCAAGGTTAATATGTTATTTAATCAAAAAAGGCATCCAAATAAAGCCATTACTTTGTTGTTCTTTAAATGGATTGAATCGTTAGTTGCCAGTTGCTGTGGAAATAATTTGTAATAACTTATTTTGAGACGGAAAAGTTTTAGATGTGTTTCACCAAAATGATACATTTTAACTGTGATATTGCTATTTAAAAAAATCAATAAAACAAAAATCAATAAAACACCAAGGGATTTTCTATTGAATGCTTAATGTGGAGGTCTGTAAAGTGAATTGGTTTCTGTGTTTATTTGTGATACTACTAATAATAACATGATACTAAAGGACCTTTTTCTAAATTAGGCTTGTGTATCAGTTCACTGGAAAAATAAGCTTCCGTTATGGAAGATGACTTTTCTTTTCTGGTCATACTGACCTTTGCTTTTATTTTCCTCATAAAAAGCATTGGCTGCCAAACAGAAATCCAGGAAATAGCAAACTGTGCATTTAGCTTACATTCCGATTAAACGGTTTGACATTAATGGGATGCTAGAAAGCCATATGCCAAACAAATAGGGGAAGGATAAAGGCAAAACATGGAAAATATTTCGAGCTACTAGATGCCAGTCGAGTCAGGTTTCTTGAATGTGTGGGTGAAAGAGAGTAGCGAACTGTGCACTGGATGTCACCTGCCTAGGATTAATGACCTGGAAGCTATTGATCCCAGATTGTTTCTGGTCTCTTGTGTTTTGAGCACTTGTTGTGGAATTTTGCTATGCTGGGTCCCTTTCTAGAGTTTTCCCATAGACTTAGCCTGGCTTTGGATCGTGCCCACCCGAGTAAAGGCTAAAAGCGTGCGCTTTCTTCTGACCTCCCTTCTGTGACCAGGATATGTTAATCTTTTCTGACATTTGAAGATGATTTTGAATGAGTTCATTGACATTCATACTTAAAGCAGGAATTATTTGCAGCCTTTGGAAGCTATTTACAATTTTTGGAAAACAACCTAATTGATTTTTGAGTATAAAGGGGAAAGATGCTGAACATGAAACAATTCTCTTCAAAGCCTATCTTACACGGCAGTTATCCAGTCCCTCTTTTCTAGGTTCTGCTTCTCTCAAATTATGTGGACCTAGCATGTCCTTGTTTACTGAATACTGCACGCTTGCATAGCTTTTTTTTTTCCTGTTTGTATTAATTAAAGGAGTATCTCACCCAGATAGGTTAGTACAGATCATAGATACTTTAAATGAACAGGTCAGCAAGTGCAACTGGAAGGAATGTCAAATATATAGTACCTCTGGTTTATATTGATGACCTTCATTCTTGCCACAGATGATTAAAATATAATCAGCAGAAATGTGGAAGGCTTTACAAGCAAACATGACTTCTGAAAGGCCAGAAGATAAGTTGTAGTAACTATAAAGAAGGAGGAAAAGGTTTGGAAGTGGTTTCCTTAGACTTAAACAAAATAAAATACTCCAGTTGCTCATAATAACAGTACTTTAATATTTATCTTACATTATGTGTTCAATGGTAAGTATTGTCGTTTAAAGCTGAAATCCTTGGACCATACTTTCTGCAGCAGGACGGAACTATTTATCCCTTTAATCTGATACTCCAGTTGCTGGCAGTAGCAGGGTATCTGATACTTTGGAAGGGAACACTTCGCTGTGAATGCTGGCTGCCTGTTGAGAAGTGCTGCCGACGCTGTTCCCATGCAGGGAGGTGAGGACCTGCTAGTGATGGGCAGGGGGACATTTATATTGCTTCACATGATCTTCCTCAAGGATTCACCTTGATTAACTCCTCCTTTATCTTATAGCTATGAGTATTGGTAAAGTTTTGTGTAGTTTTTTTTTCCTTTTAAAATTAAGAAACCTTTTCTTGGCAGATGCAGTTTATGTATAAAAGCAGTTTCATTGTCAGGTTTGTATCAACTTTACTTACAAGAAAGGGCTATATGAATAGCTTTGTTATTTCCTCAGACCGTTGCCTTCTCTGTTCAAATTCTTGGTTCAGTCTCAGGCTTCCACACTCTTTCTGGAGCCTCAGGCCCCCACCTGCTGACCCCCTTGGGCACATGGAGCAAGTGCCCCACAGTGTGTCCCTATGGGCTGTGCTAGGGGGCTGCTGCGCCCACCCAGGGCTTCTTCTCTGCCCCTCCTCAGCACCTTAAACCAAAATGCACTCAAAGCACTCTCATTTACGACTCGTCCTTCTTCATATTCTGCAATCCGGAGTGGGTTCTGAATATTTGTTGGAAACGCTAATCTGGTTTGACTGCCATTTAGTATTTCTTCTGTTTTCCCCTGTTCCTAGATC